CTTACCTTGACACATTCATCACATAATATGTGTAGATATATGTGTGCGCGCGCCTTGTTCAAGTGGTGGTACTAAAGAAGCTTCTCAAAAGAGCAACCTTTAGCATGCATCATCCAAGAACTAGAATCGTAAGCACTTTCCTTGTGCCTTGTTCAAGCGTGTGTGTGTGTGTATATATACATAAATGATGTATTGTATTATCATATTTTGAAATTGATAGTATCACCATTTGGTCAGCTTCCTAGTCCATCTAACCTTTTGAATTCACGGATGACATAGCTGACAATGTATTATATTTATTATTGTAGACAGCACATGCTCAAGGAATTTTCATCTTCTGGATTAGTAAACTTATACTATTATGTAGTGTCGGTCCAAAGGCACGTGTGCTTTTTTGTCCTTCAAATTGTCTAATTATAAAATGAATCAGTCAATGTAGTTGTTTCTTCAGTCAATTATATTTAAAATAATACTATAGATGGTAAACACGGGTATACACTTCTTTGTTAATTAATGTCCTTTGTTGTTTATTTATTTAATTTTTAGTTTTATATATATATATATATATATATATATATATATATATATATATATATATATTTTAAGCAGTGATTTATTTTAACGTACTTGAATCATATAAAACATATCTGTTATTTGAATTTTTTAAAGAAGAAACAAAAAAACACAAGCAACTACTTGAAGCATATAATGCAAGATGTGAAGTCTAAGTTTTATCCTAACTAGAAACCTTTAGCATCCGAATGGACTGGAACTAGAAGAACAAACATTTTTCTTATAGTGTTGTGACTGTATCATATAACACGGGGTCAAAAAGACTTAAAGTATCCTGAAATTTTAATATTTTTATTTATTTGTTTGGACAAGATTGAAGACAAAGGATGTACACGTTGGAACACAATGAGGTGCTTTTTATTATTATTCTTAAAAAATTAAATAGAATTCAATGCAATTTAAATATATATTATATGTTAATTAGAAAAAAATAATATAAAGTTTTATAAAACATAATTAATAAACATTTAATTGTAAGCTATAAATTAACAATTTTATACCAATAACAAAAGTCATGAGTTGTGTGTATTAATGAATCGTGACTCTTGTCACAAGCGACTCCTTTTTAATATTTTTGATATTTTATTTTTAAAATAATAATACAAAATCGAAGAGTCGAATACATATGATTAAATTTAAATAAGGGATAATATCATAATAATATTACTATATTTAGTGAGGTTATAATGATGTGATGTCTTTGGTTATTTTTATTTTTAGTATTGTAAATGTGTGTTTTTTTATACCCATATGCCAAAGCTGACGAGGTATTATTTTAGAGCGCACATGGTCTGTTTTCCGCATTTTCATCTTCTGGCAACTTGCTCGTTTTGACCCACAAATTGTTTAATACTTCTCTTCTCGTGTAAAATGAATTAGCCAATTTTGCTTCTTTTGTAAATAAAAATAAAAATAAATAAAAGTTGACCTTTGTTTGTTTAGTCAATTTTTTTTATAAAAAAAAAGAAAAAAGAAAAAAAAAAAAAAGTAAGCACGGTATATCCACTTGTGATATCGTACATGACATTTACTCGGTAATATTTGAATAGAATTTCTCAGTATTTTATAATGTGTGGACACGCATACATTAACACGTCAAATTTTTACGATTTGAATACTACTATATATAAATATAAATTTTTATTTATATACATTTGCTGAGTAATAATATTTTAAAACAAAAATTAATTTTAATTTCTATACTAAGAGTTGCTCTGAAATAATTTAGAAAATAATTTTATGTCATTATTGTAATAATTTTTATATTATATGTACCATTATTTTACTGCTCTATCATAAACGTGTTTTATTTAAAATGAAAAAATATCATTTTATGTTTTACTTATGATTATATATATTGTTGATGCCAAAAATCTACACGCTCCGGAGTCTGTGACAATTCCTGCAAGACAAGAGAAGTGATGACCGGCGTGGTGCCGGTCGTGTGATGACCGGCGTGGTGCCGGTCGGGTGCAATTTACGGCGTACCTTTTTAGGTTGATTGATCCTTTCTTTTATAGAAGCATTAATGGTAGTAGTTTTTCAAGCGAGATTCTCCTTGATCCAAGATGATATCGTTTTCTTCTTACAGGAATGGTAACTCTGGTTACATATGGTATTATGATTCCATGGAGATTTTGGGTAAGATATATCCCTTACCCTTATCTTATTTCTCTTTTGACTTTAAGCTGCCTATTATTTTTATCCTTATCAGTTGCCCCCCATTCTCGTGCTTGCTTGTCAAGTATCGAGAATGTCAAAAGTGTTTTTTTGAGTGACGTCTCTTTGGCATAAATCAATAGGTTAACCCTTGTTGGGCGACCTTTTTTGGTTGATCTCTTAAGATTTGTTCGAACTTCATGAGTTGATGGAGTAGGCTTTCTTTAAGCTGAATGAGCTTACCTTTTTAAAAAAAGAAGTATATTTACGAGCTTTACTCAGCTCGTCCTTTAAAAAGGAAAATATATTTTACGAGCTTCACTCAGCTCACCCTTTAAAAAGGGAAGTATATTTTACAAGTTGATTTCAACCTTTTTTAATAGGGAGGACAACAATTACGAGCTTTATTCAGCTCGAGCCCTTATAGTACGAGGCACTTTTATATCAATCCCTTATAATACGGGGATGGTAATTACGAGTTTCATTCAACTCGCCCTTTAAAAAGGAAAATATATTTTACGAGCTTCACCCAGCTCGCCCTTTAAAAAGGGAAGTATATTTTACAAGTTGATTTCGACCCCTTTTAATACGGAGGATGACAATTACGAGCTTCATTCAGTTCGAGCCCTTATAGTACGGGGCGCTTTTATATGAATCCCTTATAATACGGGGAATGACAATTACGAGCTTCATGAACTTATCCTTTTAATATGGGAGGTTCATCCTCGTGAGTAACTGATTTTCTAGAGTTTCGTGAGCTCGTATCTTTAATAAGAGAGGTTAACTTTCTGTCCCCATTCCCAAGCTTGCCTCTCGCGTACAAGGAACACTAATGTTCTCTTTCTATTTGCAAAGTTAGCAAAGCAAAAATAAAAAAACAGATGTCCAGTTTGAACGGATAATATATATACATATTTATATATATCAGAATAGGTACAATTAAGACAAAAACTTATCATTGAGCATCATAGGACCAAAATCATCAATGGAGCTAACGATTGTTCTCTAGAATAAAAAACTTTTTTTTTTCTTTTTTTTTTAAACCCTGTGAACAGTACCCGCGGGTACTATTCATGTGAATAGTACTTACAAAATATTTTTTTTTCTATACCTTGTGAACAGTACCAGCGGGTACTATTCATGTGAATAGTACTCATAAAATAATTTTTTTTTTCTACACCCCCTGTGAACAGTACCCACAATTTTTTTTTTTTTTTTTTTTTTTTTTTTTTTTTTTTTTTTTTTTTTTGAACAATACCCTCAAAGCGTAGTATTTTATCGGAGGGTCCCCAGGTGAACTACATCATTATGTAGGTGAACAATATTTTGCAGACAATTGGAAACACATAAAAAATTGTTTCTCTTTAAATCATGTGAAGAAGTGTACACATATATTTTGATATACGCGTAATGCATGAAACTTACCCGGTTAACAGCGATGATGAAACAACTGCTAGCGGTCGGGCGGGACTTTCTACTGAATTGTTTTTAAGTTTTGTCGTAGATTTCCCTTGTACGAACTATAATTTGTTGGGACTAATATACGTTCCCACAGATGGCGCCAACTGTTGATGCCAAAAATCTACACGCTCCGGAGTCTGTGACAATTCCTACAAGACAAGAGAAGTGATGACCGGCGTGGTGCCGGTCGGGTGCACTCCGACGGTCAAGTTAGTACTCGACGATTAAATATCCGATAAGGATTCAATATGAAATTTACAGCGTACCTTTTTAGGTTGACTGATCTTTTCTTTTATAGAAGCATTAATGGTAGTAGTTTTTCAAGCGAGATTCTCCTTGATCCAGGAGGTATATCGTTCCCTTCTTACAGGAATGGTAACTCTGGTTATATATGGTATTATGATTCCATGGAGATTTTGGGTAAGATATATCCTTACCCTTATCTTATTTCTCTTTTGACTTTGAGCTGCCTATTATTTTTATCCTTATCATATATAATGTTAATTTTTCCTAAATAAAAGTTGAGCAGTTTAAAACGTTGTTCATGTTTGTGTTGCAATATCGGCTTAAGTGTTCAAAATGTATGTGAAGTGTTGGAAGTGTTCGTATTCAACACAACTCTCCATAAAAGCGTCCATGCAATATCTAAATGTTCTAAGGAGTGTCCGTGCAATATCTAAATGTTCTGAGGAGTGTTCGTGTCCCACACTTGTGAGCTATTATGTCCCCTTCAATTTCAATTTCCTTCACAAATTCAGAGTCGAAACAAGTTTAATCTTGATCTAGCTTCATCTATTTCACAAATTCACAGATTTCAGGGATAAAATGAAAACCCTTGTTCTTTTTATACCCATTTCCATAAAAATATTTGCCATTGAACTATATTTACGGTTCCATCAGGGCAGCTTGAGAACACAAGAACAGCCACTTTAAGCATAAAATTCTATATGTCAAGACTAAATCTGTTATTATAAATATATATATTTTTAAAAAATAAAAATATATATAAAACCCAATGAACAATGCTCCGAGGGTTCCTGGAAGAGTCGATACCTCCACAATGTAAAAAGACTATTTCCCATTTCAAACCCGTGACTTCCAAGTCACAGTTGAACAACTGTTTATTAAAGGTTCCCTCAAATAACTAACCAAAGAAGCGTGATGAGGTACTCTTAGAACTCCAACGTTAGCTACTTCGGCAACTATCTTCCAGCGAAACATCTTGATTGGTTTATTAAGCAATAGGATTTCAAGCCAAAATTGAAGTTTGACCCTCAGTCCAATATCAACATCTTTGAAGCACTATGTTTTGCATATTAGATCACAAACCTTCCAAATAAATGAGTTGAAAATTTGAGACATAATCCATATCCTGATTCCTAAATAATTGTTGTGCCCTACAAGGCCATACACGAACACAAATATAGAGTAGACCTGGTCATTTCATTTCACAGCTATCAATCTATTGAGCATGATGAACAAATCAAGAAAATAACAAGTTAATGGGTCACAATATATGTGAACCGAGCGGTATGTAAGCAATCTAAAACATAGGCAATGGACGGATGAAACAAGTAACGCACATAAAGGCTTCCACTGCCACAAGACGAGAGCCCCTTTTGGTTCCTGAAATCAGTCCTCGAAAAGTACACAGAAACACAGGCCAACCTGGAAAAGGTGAATCAAGGGATTGTCATCTCAATGAAATATTGTTTTCTTTTAAAACGTGTACATTGTTGTAGCCATATGAAGGGTGAAGGAAAAATGAAAAGAGAACATTACCGTAGCTGGTGATGAGCATTTTTTCAACCTTTAATGGCAGCTTTGTGAACCATAGTTTCCTTGTGGATTTGGTGGCAACTCTTCTCCACAAGGTCAAGCAGCCTCTCCAAGTTCATAGCCCACGAATTTAAAGTATCGTTACTGTCCTTGGCCGACTGGAAACAGACTACACCCATGGGCCTGTCAATCTTTGCCACCAGTGCTTTCGATACAACCATATCTGAAAGATGCCTTTCAGCTTCCTGAAATAGAAGAAAATACGAACATATAGCAGATAAAAGGGAATAAACTAACATACACGGCTTTCAACAATAAGATTACTTATGGCATCATACAAATGACATTATCATACAGGTGCAGCTGGATATGACAGGATAAAGTAAAGCAGCAAATGAACTTGGAAGACAAAAATGAAGTTTCTAAAACGGGCTACACCTTTCCTAACCTAAAATAAAGAAAGATGGTCCCTGTTTCAAGGGTGGGTGGTGTCTGCATTTCAAAACAAATCAAAACGAATGCAAAAGAAGGGGGTGAAGAGTTAACATATATAATGTTAAAAGGTAGCATTTATCATCTACATAAATTCAAGCAACAGCAAAAATTGTTCCCTCCAGAGCCGCCAGATAGGGTCTTGGACCAAAACAAACACCAAAATAAGATCTCGCTCAACACCCAAAAAACTGAAAATGATACTACAGGGTTGTGGCAACTACGACTTCAGAGGAACAGAGGGAGCTAGTAGAAGAGAGAAAAATCATCATGCTAGTCTTAAACCTAAAACGGCACAAGAATAACGGGAAATAGCCAAGTCTAGAAAATCAAATACCCTAATCCCAGAGACGTACCTTGAATATTATGTCATGTGCCTTGTCGATAAAGAGGAATGCTTAATTGCTATAAAATAAGGTTCCTATTATAAGGTAACAACTTGGAAAAATAAAACCTTTCAAAAAAAAAACTTGGAAAAATAATTTTCCCCTCTTTTAGACAAACGGAGAAATGCATTTTTGAGGTCTAGATGCTAATGCAACCAAAATGCCAGTCTTCAATTTTTTTTTTTTTTTTTTTTGGGATAAGTAAAATACCAGTTTTGGATTTGTATAAATTATAAAAGAAAAGGTTATGAATGCTAATTAATCAATTAGATTTTCATTAAATATAAAAGTTTAATGTTTCACCTAAGAATTTAGAAGTTCTGGAGATAACTTCCGCAGGAACTTAATAGCAAGCAGATCTACGTAATAATCAAAACTTTACCCCAACTGTTCAATAGGGTTTAAATCTTTAATCAAAATTCAAGAATCTGGGAAATTTTCTTTTTCCTTTTAGGCACCTCAAAACTAATCCTTCAAACAGTTTCCCCAATAACTTGTTCAAAAAATAATAATAATAATAAAAAAGTTAGAAATGCATCAGAAATAAGTTGACACGAGTTCTCTCTTGTACTTTTGATGATATAAATTGCCAAAAATTATCTTTTCTTTGCTAGAAAAAAACTCTCATAATATTAAGTAGATCAATCAATGCATTAAAACCATATATAAGGAACTATATTGTAGGGCTAATATCAGCAAACCTGAATGCTGAGACACAGCAGATCTGCAATACGCTTCAAAGTAATCCGTGAGTAATACTTCGAGACAACGAGAATGTTCTGTAAAGAATGAATGTTTTGCAAATGCATGACTACCAAATAACTCAAAATATGGAAAAAGAATTACAGTATATAATTGAATGTAGCGGACAATTACATGTTCTATTACTCTCAGTCTAAGATCTTCAGCCGCTTTGTCACCTAAAGGGCCACCAAGCATGTTCTTTTCATTCTCAAACTCATCCTTGAATGTATTCCAGAGAGCCGTCCACTGAATGACCTCCATCGTAATTAGTTGTTTCAACAGCAACCTATGAAGAAACAAATGCAAGCACCAACAGCATTAAACAGCAGCATAATGTGCTGCTGCAGACTTCAGCACCATCAGAAGTTCCCCACCCGCTCCCGATAAAGGGGATTGGGTGGCAATTATCCAGGAAATGCACTTGACAATCTTTCACCAAATGCGCCCACTATATTTGAGAGTATTTTCTCTTTTTCTGTGTGGCCGTCACATCATTAAATAACAACAAAATCATGGAACAGCATTCCAAATCTGCTAATGAGATTATGGAAGATCTAAAGCTCCCCAGGTATACCAAATAGAGAAAGCCTCTAATTTTGGAGTGGAGGACCTAAGGGGGGAAAAAACGAAGCAGAACCAAAAGAAAAAAGGTAGGGGAAATATGCATACCTAAAATGAGAAATTTCAGAAAGATTCTTATCCTCCAATGTAGAGTTCAGCAAGCTTGATTGCATGGGATCATGAGGTGCCAAAACTAAATACCAGCATATTTTCCTCAACACCTGCACAAATTAAAATGAGATAAATTCAACGAGATTGAAAAAGTCATCAAAGTGATTTCTTTTACAAAAAGTTGATAAATAAATAACCAATAATTTAAGCACAAATTGAAGAGCTTCTTACCGGTATCCACTGTTCTGGATTTTCTTTAACACAGGGGATGTCATATATTGCCTTGTAACTGCGACATATTTCAAGGTAATCGTTGCTATGTGAGTAGTACCTGTCCAGATATGAATGAAACAAATGAAATCGCCAAATTTCTGGACATCCAGGTATACTGCTATTGCATATAACGGTTTCATGCAAAAGTCCTTCAACATATCTACGAGTATGAGGAAATGTTTTATATATATAAATCATATATAGTCTAGTTTGAAGGACCAGAAAGCATATCATCAAACAGCAGGTTCATGTGAAATCTGTCTATGTTTAAATCGTGTTGCCTACTTCGCAAGATACTTGACTTCGAATGATAGTAATATAAGAATAAGAATTGTAGGAAGCACTCTCTGAAGGATCCCCCCTCCGGGGTTCTCTGCAACTGGATAATACCAGGACCCTTCTTGTGCCCCGGCCCTTTGTGCAAGAAGAATGCTCGAACTTTTTCTTCAAGACAGATGCTACAACAATTTGGTTTGACAAAAGAGCACCTTGCCAAGTGAACAATTTACCCAATATTTAAGCAAATTTGAGATCTTTTTTCTAGAGGACGGAATTACCAGGTCATGTTTTTCCATTCCTCGTTCCTGAGGAAAAGTCCCTTCCCAGCCTTCTCTATTAAAATAAATAAATAAATAAAAAACAAATCTTGATGAAAAGCCCATAATATATGAAAAATCCTATAACTAGGTTTAAGCCTTGTTGAATTGAGCAGAAAATAGCTGTCAAAATTGGCATTTATATTTCTTGAAGGATCTTTCCACTGAACTCCTGTAAGCAAGCCAGATACTTAAACACGGTTGGGAAGCAGACTAAACAATTATTGCTTAAATTATCTAGGTCAATCCTTATGGCTTGGAGTCTGTGAATCACCAAATCAATAACGTACAGCTACAGCAGTTTTAAAGGTTCATTTGTCCCTTTCCCAATTTTTTTTTATTTTTTTTATTTATTTTTATTTTTATTTTTTTTTGTGTTATTTCAATCAACATTCCTGGGCAGGGGCCCATCTGAATCAATCGATTGGATAACAAGAAGGCGCGTATCGATCCATAAGGCAGAGAGGTGAAGCCCCAGGCTGGACGTGTGTGTGTATGTGTGTGTGTGAGAGAGGAAGAGAGTAGAGTTCTGTACAAGAATAGTGTTAGTAACAATTATTACATACATCACAAGCAGACACGACCATTCAATCCATTAACTGCCAAGATAGCAACCTACGTGGCATCTTCAGCCTGCCACCTGACATCTCCACATAAGTCCACATGTTAATCCTGCAACACAAGACGTGGAATTTTCTATGAGAATGGTCCCAGATTTTCCTGTTGCCAAGTGGAGCTATTCCACGTCTTCAACATAGCCAAACCAGCATTTTTCTAGGTGCACAGTTGGGTCTCCAACAACTCTATGACAAAACAGCTGCATGATGCCATGTCTACAAGAGAATCAACTCTGCACTTTTCCAACAGTGCAGTCAGTCATATCCACAAACAAATCTCTTTCGATGCACAACTTCATGATATTCAATTATCTGATTCGCTAGACGAGTGCTCTCCACAAACAGACCCTCTCAATAAAAGTTACCTCAGCAAAATTATACTCTGATGCACCTCATGAATTGCTTAGAACGGGAGCAAGACTAAGGGGCTTCTGCAGCTTTAAGAGCAGCTACAGGACAATCCACCTCACTGTTGCACCATATTTCACCTCGGATCCTCAACGTACTTATAGTTGAATTCAAGATTGGTCAAAACATCCTTGCAGTCTGCACCTCCATATAAAATAAAGTAAGAAAACCACATTACATGCTAGTAACAGGTCTACAATAACATGGTGAAAACCACATTACACGCTAGTAACGAGTCTACAATAAATGGTCGCATCCAATTCAAACCGCGCATATCATACATGGTAACCTCTTATAGAACTGCTCCATTGAAAAGAAAACCACCTCAGAGTCATCCCAACATTATACAGCTACAACCAAAATGCTGTCATGTCACCACTAAAATCGTAATGCTAACCCCTATCATATCCTAGAAGAACGCCCCCATGACTTGTGGCAGCATCCCACAAAACCACAATAGTGACATCCGGCACTATCCAATGTCATGAGCACCTATTACCTCATTGCCACACAACAGATAGATCTCTGCCTTGCATTAAAAAAGAAAGACGGTCTTTTGGCACCGTGCAGAGCCTTAAAAAAACATCTAGAAGTTCTTCCACCACTTTAAATCAAACTAATTCTCAAAAGGCAAGGTTAATTCTACCATACTACCACAAAACAAACTCTACTTCCAGCTAACATGTCCACTTCCAACAAAAATCTTACCTGTAATACCACCATCATTTACTCACCAGACAAGAACCCACATTATGGCAACTCCACTGGAAAGCCATTCTGTAAAATGGTGAAGGACAGAGGCCCTGCCATGGTCATTTTCATCCGAAGAATGCTAGAGTCAATTATACTACTAGCACACCCTTGCAAAGCCACTATAAAACTAGTATCCTAGATGGTTAATGGCCTCTTACTCATCGGACATAAAATCACAACTGATGATCCGCCTCAAGAAAAAAATAAAAAATAAAAAATAAAAAAAAATAAAAAAAAAAAGATAATTCTCAGGGCTCTCAAGTCTCTAATGACTGGTGTTTCACCTCAGCTGTCATTCCAACAAAAAGAAATCCACTATATGTGCTAAAAATAGTGCTCCCAAAGCACCAAACATGCCACCTATTCCAACAGTGCACCCAACAGGAACCCAGCCTTCACCCACGACTGATTCGTCCATGCCCATTGCAATCTACAGCACACTGCCACCATGCCAACAAGTGGTTTCAAGCAACCACATTGAAGCATGTGATGCCCTCTAGCCCATATGTCACTCTTCCACAAGTGGAACAGAAATCCTCAATGAATACAAAGAGGATCTTAACTTTTGCCTCGACCTAAACTATTTGACATTCCACCAACAATTGGCGAGCCATAAGGAATATTTGCCAGATGAAAATTGCCACGAGTAACCTTTAAGGCTACTGAATGTGAAGACCATTTCCTCCATAATAAAGGGAGGGCAATTTTATGCTCCCCATTATAACGAGCTCGAGGAGATCATTCCCTACAAGCTCCCTGAGGTTACTGCCTAAGACTCAATTGACCTTGAACCTCAAAATTTCAGGATGCTTGCAAGTTCAAGTGGTTTTATGACCAAATTTAAGTCACCAAGGACCACAAAGAATGCCCGGTTATAAAAGGTTCAATTCATCATTCCATTATAGAGGCCATTGTAACAACCTTCAACTAAAGCTGACATGTATATCTATTATCACATAATTGTACATCACCGCAGTAAACAATGGAATGAAGTTTTAAAGGGCTTTCCTGAACAATAGTCCTTACTAAACATCATGTACTTACTTGTATTTTTAACTTCGGATTTTCTTGATTCCCATCCAGATAATAAGTCTCAGAAATTGGGCCACACCACTAGAGTCCAATAAAGCATTAAAACAGACAACTCAGCATGTATCGCCAATGATCTACATTGTTCCCTCAACTAAAAGAATACATGTGAGATTAAATGACGGTTATTAACGTCACATCATATCCCCACACTTTGCACACACACTCAGGCACTCAAAAGGCAAATGTGGGTACCTGACACCACATCTCCATGTATTGTCAAGGTAGGAGCCTTCGGGGCATCTTCATCCAACCACTAGAATCTCCACATAAGCCCACGTGCTATTATTGCAACACAACATATTGTGATCGCCATTGGTATAGTCTCCAATGTCCAGTTGCCTTCCATATCTCCACAAAAACAAGCTATATGAGCAAACCAATATGTTATTGGTCATACGATTGGATCTCCTAAGACAACTCGCACAATATGCTCTACAACTGGACAGTCACAAGAAGCCACGTCTCTGAAAGGCTCTGCTGCGAGCTCACACTTCAACCACACAATTCTCTCCTTAGACAAACCTCTTTCAATCCCCCCTCCATATAGTTTAGTTATAAACTTTTTCAGCCACGCAATCAACCTTCTCCATAGACACACACACACAAAAAAAAGTGTAAAGTGCACCATGAAGCACCTCATGCACTATCTAGCCAAACCAAGACTCAAGGAACTCCTGTAGCTCAATAAAGAGTCATGGGTAACCCACCTTGCTGTTGCAACATAGTCCACCAAGGATCATAGAGTTACTTAACTTGGTGACTGAAGTCTAGGTTTTGACAAGCTGTCTTCTTCACTGTGTATAACTCAGTCACTTTGAGAGAGAAACACAACCTTACTCCCAAGGGACGTGTGTTTCCAATGACATGGCAGCATCCTATTGAATCACACATCATATGAGCCATTAAAATGCAGTGGCATGCCATTGGATCACAACATCATCTTACTAAAGAAGTTTGGCTTCCTTAGAACCACCCTAACGACACACTGCAGACCCTAAACACCAGAATCCGGTCTCTAAAGCTATATCATCCCCCACAACATCCTATCAAACCGCCCAACTACAAGTTGCATCGTGTTGCAAGACAACAGTAGGGATACGTAACACTACTCCAAACAAAGCCAACAATGGCACGAGCACCTCTTTCCATTGGCGCTTCAAATAAATAGATCTCAAGATTGCAGTAAACAAGGTGGACCTTATACATATTAAATACAAAACCTTAAAAAGACTCGAAAGCACATTGACATGACTTGAATTCTGCAAACTAAACTAATTTCAAAAAGACAAGGGTGACCTTTAGAGCAAAAAAGCATGAATACGGACACGAGATACAAATAAAAAATAACATAAATATGTTGAGACCAAAAATCATAAAATTTAAGGACTCAGGCACAGCAAGGACAGGACAATATTCTATATTTTATAGAATTTATATTATATAGGAAAATTAAATATTCAGTGACTATAACATGAATTTTTTTTTCCTTTTTTATTTATTTATTTTTTTATAAGTGCCAATAGAAGACGATCAAACAAAGAATGCAGCCCGCAAAAGCTACACAAGGACCAAATAGGGCCCCAAAACTCTCAAACTGTCCAAAAAAATAATCTATCTCCCCCAAAGATACACACTTTATCCCTTAAACCCAACAAAAAAAGATAACTAATGATAGAACATTACTTTTGATTTATATACTTAAAAAGTATATATACTCAGAATTTAACGACTCTCCTCCCACTTTTTTTTTTTTGATAAGATCGTATAAAAGAGCGTTCAAACAGGGGGGAACGCGGCCCACAAAAACAAGCAAGGAACGAAAAGGGCCCCTAATCACCCAATACAACATTCCTTTTCTATGTCCAATCAGTCAATAAAACATTCCTTTTGGTTTTTTGAATATGGTCAAACATTATATAACTTTGAGTATAACTTTAATAGGACGACACTTGCAATTTTACTTTGTTTCCATGTTAGAAAAAGGTATTATCCAATGTTCACCCTTCGTTAGTCACATCACATGTTCGCACATGTTCAACAATTGTTCACCATTTGTCAAAATCTAATAATATCTACTCACCCACAAGAAACCACACACATAAATGCTAAAAATTCATAAATAACCTATTTTGACATGAAAATTATTCATTTGAGTCCTCTATGGAAAGATAAAGTATATAACCACCAAGCTGATGAAAATATCAGGCACGATTTAAAAGCATCAAAAGAAAAAATTTAACCTGTTTGTTCCCACTGTACTTTGTTTAACAGGATTATATAGTTTTTTTAAATAAGTAAATAACAGGATTATATAGTTGTAAAAGGATTACACTTGCAAGTTGTACTTATCACAAAAAAAGGGGATTATACTTCCAGTTGTACTTTTCACAAAAAAAGGGGATTTACTTCCGGTTGTACTTTTTTTTCCATGTTAGAAAATGGATATACCTTGTTTCCAGATTAGAAAATGGTATTATCCAACATTTTCATGTTCAAAAGTGTTGACAATTTGCCCAAAACTGCGATATGTATTTTTAAATTATGGAGATGAGTAGTGCATTTGGAAGGAGAGGAATAGTAGAATGTTCGAAGGGAAAGAATCGTCCACAGCGATTCTGAAACTTCACATCATACGCTCTCTTTTCAGTTATGTGAAGAGGAAGTCCTCTTCTTCTTCCGAAGATTTAATTATTTTTTTGGCTTCTTTGGGATCTTAATCCCTAGTTCCACTTTTGTATAAGGGATGCGTTCCCCTCTTGAACGCCTTTTTTATTTCAATTATTACTTATCAAAAAAAAAAAAATTATGGAGATGAGCAATGTGTCAAACACATGTCCCGGAGCACCCGAGAAGTGTCAGTGTCTCACACAGATACAACTCCTTTGAAGTGCCCGCTCTTATGACCTCGCTACTACCACCATCTCTCATAAGTCAATCTCGACTTCAACATATCTTGGTCCACTCTCCATCATCTTATTTGTAGTGACTTTTTTTTTTTTTTGATAAGTAGTGACTCTATTATATAGTAACCCACAAGAGCCTGCACATATAAATTCTAAAAATCATAAATCTCCTCTTCTTGACATGAAATTTATTTTCAAGTTCTCTATGGCAAGAAGAGGTATAGCACAACCAGCTAGCTAATGAAAAAAATTATCCACAACTCAGAAGTCAGAAGCATCAAAAGGATAAAATTAAATTGCTGATTCCGATCGTACCTTTCTTTAATACAACTATATACCTTCAGTAGGAATTACTTACAATTTTACTTTGTTTTCATGCTAGAAAAAATTATTATCCAATGTTCACCGTTTATTGGTGACATGTTAGCACATGTTCACAAAGTGTGGCCACTTGTCCAAATAAGCTAAAAATCTAGAATTTTATTTATTACCTATGTGTAGATTAAATAAGTTGAAGTTTACGGGCTTCTACTTTAATTCTTTGCAAAGATTTCCTCCTATTTCATCATAGCATATCCCCATTTAATTGCAAGAATTACAATCTAGATTTCTTGTAGATCAGCTTTATTTCATTTAACTTTAAAGTGGATAGATCTCAACAAAGAGGTAGACTGTTATATGCTTAACAATTAAAGCTTACTTTATCATCGTTCACATGGCCGCATATCCCTTTTAATTTTGCAAGAACTACAATCTAGATTACCTGAGATTATCTTCAGTTAATTTTCCATAAAAGACTAAAAGCTGGAGATATTTCAACATTGCAGGTCGAATGTTATATGGTTAATTAATTCGAACTTACAATGATTGTGATCTCCTCTATAATGGTGAATCAAGTTTGTTGTGCTTGTATACACACACACACAACAAAAATACACACACAAACAATTAAGTATTCTAATGGTGGAGGAGAAATGTGGGGGAGTTAACATGGTGGGTAGAAGTAACAAACAAAAAGAGATACTCTCTTTACATCAAATAATGAAACTAGAAAACACGTGGAGAGAAGAATGTACCCACATACCGTATCATTAATTCATAGTAGATGCGCTTCAATTCCAACAGTGATGGTATATCAGAGGGTGCCTCTTCCACCATGTTTTCGCCTTCTTTGGGTTTTTTCTTCTCTTTTGAAGTATCAGTATCAAAAACTCTAGGACTGATCTTTCTTGACAGGATTTGTGCACGCACATAATCCTGGCGGTCTAAACACAAGCGAACCTGCAAAGCTCGAATTTCACATGATCACCACTTTTTCTACCAAAATCCTAGCTATTAATAAGTATCCAAAACAATAAAAAATAAAAATAAGTAAATGGAAGGGAACCCATACTTGTTCAAGAATAAAAGCTATTTTTTCAGTTTTTGCCATAGCACCAAATGTTTCCACCTGTAATTCAACACCATCAGAAAAGGATATACAAGAGAAAAACCAACAAGTCAATGCCTTATTTTATTTTTAATAATATTGGAACTCAAAAATTGAAGAAGGCTATAAACCCAAAAAAAAAAAAAGTTCTACACTAACCGCAATTTCTTGCATTAAATCAGCAGCTTCAGCTATTTGCCCTTGTTCTTCCTTGATCTTTGCAAGTCTCTTGATCAACCGTGCCCTCTCTATCTCGACATATATCTATAATATAACGCAACCAATTCAGAATAGAGAGGAAGAAAGAAAAAAAAAAAAAAAAAAGGCTTTGCAATAAGTGGTATAATGTAGAACATTCTCAGACTTATAAATCTTTGTTTACCTTCCCTGCGGACACACTGTTAAGTGTTTGAATGAGCTCTATTTTAGAATCAATATCTGGTGTCTCATCAATATATTGCATGGCTTGCTGGACCATTGCAGTTACAGCCTTTGCAGAAACAGAAACCCAAAACAACACGTTAGCAAGCCCATTACACAGCTTAACGCTATAAAAGGTACTACCGTAAATCACACAATAAGAGAAGACAACTGATACATCAAATCCTGAATCAAGATAATTATCATAAAGTACTTAAAACACATAGAACTGCAACTCTACCAAAAAGCACATCGTAAGAGTAGTCTATTCAACTATAAAATCCTGAACCTAAAACCGTCCAAGCTATTGAAAAAAATAGCTAAATATATGACAGATAGAATTATTCATCAAACTGTCCAAGCTATTGAAAAAAATAGCAAAATATATGATAGATAGAATTATTCAAGAATTCTTCAAGGCTGAAAAAGTTCAACACACTCGAGAAAACAACGCACACATACCCCATCCTTTACACCTAATCATATTACATGTATATAGATAATATAGATAACAACCCAAACCCACCCTCAAACACACAGCCCATCTCTCTTTCTATATATACATATGCATATACATTTGCATGAACACATGCATTTATACAAGCAGGTGGCCCTGTCACGCACTCAAGTAGGTAGTATTGCATCCAACTCTCATATAGTTGAAACCCACTATTTCTCCCATTTAAATATGAATCTAGTTCCGATATTTCTTTAATACCACAGCCATTAAAACGAAATTTGCACTTATTGACTGGATCACTTTACTAAAATCATCAACAACACTTAAATAAATCAATCCAAGAACATACAGAACACATTTTTTTTTGTTCTATGTTCCGAAAAAATCAACAAGAACACAGGACCATTTTTGTTGTTCTATGTTACCGAAAACAAAAATCAATAAATTGAAGGTTTTTATAGTTATACCTGTTTCAGCTGACCACGTCGCTTGGACAACAACATAATCTGGTCATTGAGGGTCTTCCAAGCACGAGCATCGTGGCAAAGCTGCAATATGTCAGTTGCGGCTTTTTTCGTGCCGGCGACATCACCGGCAAGTCTCATCTGCTTCTCGACATTCAACAGAGACTCTATTGCCGCATCCAAATTACCTCCACTTTCCTGAAACACGAAATCATTGGAAATTTTTTGAGATTCAGCATCAAAATTTTTTTTGAGATACAGAAAGTCAAAGAACGAAATTTTGAGATCTGAAAGAAGATGATGAATAATTGTATGATAATTACCATGTTGAATTCGAACCCACGAGCTTTGAATCGAGAAGGAATAAGAGAGAGAGATGAGGAAGTTTTCTTTATAGTGAAGAGATCGATTCAATTCTATGTGGAACAGTTTATTATATTAAACCCTAGAAGAGAGAGAAAGTGGTTTTCATTCTTTCGACAAAAGAAAGGGATTCGGGAGAACGGGTCGACTTTAGATCCGAATCCTTGGCGGGTTTCGAATTTAATACCATCATCCCACGGAATAGAGTTTCAAACTAGAGTAATTTTTCTATCATTATTAATGTGACGTTTGGGTGCAAAATCTTTTCTTAACTGGCTTTCTCCATTTTTAAAATAAGTGACTGTGAAAACGCCCCTTCAACTAAAAATATTGAGTACATCTCTCTTTAAGTTATATTTTATATATATATAAATTTTAAACATCATTTTCAAATATAAGTTATTTTAATAGAGAATGTGGTCCGGTTTAATATTATTTAACTCTCAATTTTGTGTTCTAGGTCGTCTTCCTCCCTCTCCTTGGTTTCTCATATTTTATTTTGGGAATTCCAGTGAAATTCCTTTGATTACCGTCAAATTTGTTCCCTTTGTCTAAATAATTTTTGGTTCATTCTAAATTCATATTATTTACGTGATTTAACTTGAATTCCTGTGATAACAGTCAATTCTTTTCACTTTTTCTAAAAATTGTTGATTTATTGATTCATAATTTGTTGCTCTAGAATTGAAGAAGAAGCTCGATCTGTGTTGGTGTTCTTCTCTCTATCTCTTCATGTCTGCTCTTGATTCTTCTTCTACTTAATTACGTACTATAATTACTCACCTTAGTAGAATTTTGTTAGTATTTTGCGTATAACATAAATATGAAATAAAGTACGTACTGCTTGGGATTTTACGTATAACATAAGTATGAAACAAACAACGTATTGTTTGGGATGTTAAGTAGATTATAATTTGAACTAGTGTTTATCTGAGTAAAGTTAATGACTATCATCTAATACGATTATGGTGATTATAATTTGAACTAATGTTTCTTCGATTAGAGTCAATGACTATCATATTGGGATGTTGCGTACAACTTATATTGACTTAAATTACAAATTACTTGGATGTTATGTACAAAAGTATTTGCATATCCAGTAGGATTATGTTATGATTATGTTGGGTTGTTGCGTACAACTTGTATTGACTTAAATTATAAACTGCTTAAGATGTTATGCGATGTTATGCAATACACAAATAATTAAACAAAAAAAATCATGTCAATCCAAAACATATTCGAAATTGCTCAACAAATATTTGTATCTACTTTAAGCCCAAACAATTTACGCACGAAACAAACAAATAAGTGGAGGATTACTTTCTTTTTTCTAGGTATCGTCCACTTATCTTCCTTCCTTATTAATTATTTTCCTTTTTCTGCCATTGATTTCTTCTGGAAATAAAATGTTTAGTTTGGAAATAAAATAAAAAATTTGGAAATAATGTCTCTCTTCTCTGTGCTCTGGTGTTGCTTGTTAATTTTGAATTAAATGACCTCCGTAAATGAAGAAACAAAAGAAATTTATGGAAACACAAGAATTGAAGAATAGAGTTCTGGTTCTTTTTGGAAACAAATCAATATTATCAACTATCATAATTCAGAAGAGAGGGAAGGAGACAATGTATTTGTGATATATATAAAAAATATACGGCTTTAGTTTCCGTATATAAAAAATTATAAAATTTTTTCATTCTACGATTATACTGTTTATTTACTCCACCGGATGGAACTGGACTACTGTGAGACCGGAAAGGATCTTGATCCTTCATTGCACATGTGTAAAGGATTTCTCAAAGAGTCAATGGTTAGAAAGCCCATTTTAAAGAAGTAGGAAAATGTTGCTTTTGAAATATCCTTTTAAGAAGCTAATTTTTTTTTTTTAAGATAAATTTATTATTTTACTATTTTGCCTATGTACTTTTTGATAAGATTGTATTATATTCTCTCTTGGTCCTTTGTTCCACTAACACCACCGCCACCACCACTTTTCATTGCCACTACCACCACCACGGTCGCCACCGTCACCGCCTTTTTGACACCACTACCACATCCATCCCTATCACCACCACCCTCCACTGCCACTACCACTATTGTGATGCCCCTCGATTCTAGAGTCACGGGTGATCAAATCCGAACACATAATATAAGGGATATCAAACAATTAATATTTAAACAAGCATTTGAATACAAAAATAAATAAATAAATAAGCTAAAGAAAACTAAATAATAAATCCTTATTTAAAAATCCTCAAATAAATAATAATTAAAAATTCTATAATAAAATCCTTCAATCCTCTGATACCAGTAATTATTTAAACTACAACTCGGGAATCCATATTGTGGACCCTTAATAATATCCTAACTGAAATAACTGAACTGATATAAAACTAATAACTAAAACATGAATAAGAATCCTACATAAAGTCGGAAGAGTGAATGACTGTCTCTGCTCGGCATGAACAATCTCTAAAACAGGAACTGACGAACACCTGAAAAAATAATGGTGGGTCAGGCTCACAAACAAGTTCTAATCTACTACATCCCAAACAGAGACCTGATACACATATACATCTTAGTTAATTTAACAATAACTAAATAGTCCATATATAGGTATATACACACTAAAGTAACCTCACTAGACTATAGAGTTGCCTCAACCTAAATAGTAGGCAACATGCAAAACGCACATATAGTGGGCATGAGTACCTAGACCTACCAGGACACACAACTATAATATATCTCGCTACACATCCTTGACAATATACGCACCCTAACCACTGATCCTGAGACTCAAGCTCATATCATGGCATATAATTATATATATATATATACAATTCGTCCTATCCAACCATAAACATAAACTATCCAATTATTATTTTAATTGTAATGACCTGGTCATTTTCTTTCCTTTCCTTTTTCCTCAAATTTTACGGATAAATTTTTTTCGTTATCTTTTCATTCTTAGTTTGGTTTCTCGTCACTTATTGTCGTTTCGAGTGCTCGAAAATGGTTTCTGAGACTCTTTCCTTTGGATTAACAACTTCCTTTAAGGACCGAATCATTTCCGCATCTTTCGTTTTTCGACACTATTCATTTTTCATCATTTTCCCTATTTTTTCTTTTCCTCGTTTGTCACTTTGTTGGCATAACCTCACTTTCTGTGTTCAGAGTTAATTTTTGACTTCACGTTTCTTCATTCTAAGTGGTTTCCACGAAATACGTATCTTTACTTTTGGAGTAAAGTACTCTGGTTGTTTCAGGTATTCATAGGGGCATGGATGCATAATTTTTCAGAATTTTTTTCTTTTCTTAGGGTGTTTTTCATAAATATCTTTTGAAGATATTTTATTTCAGGGGTTTTTAAGAAAATATTTTTGAAAGATATTTTCATTCTAGGTCATTAGTGCAGTTTTCACTTTTTGGAAGGGTTATTGCAAAAATGCCTTGTTTTGAGTCTGGATCCTCGTACGGGAATCATTTTCACTTTTTGTCGAGTCGTGTACTCTTAAAATTTCCTTCTGGTCATTTTCCCCCAGTTTCAGGGTTTCTGACCCCGATTGCCGCCGAACTTATTCGGGACATATCTCTCTACTCGGGACTCGATTTTTGATGTCATTTCTTCCGTTATTCATCTTTTCTTATTTCGGTTCTTTTCATTCACGGAGTTTTGCAGTTTGAGCGCGTCTGCGCGAATTCCACTTTTTCGGACCTAACGGGGCCCTTTCGGGGCACTTTTAGGGTTTTACTATAAATAGAATGCCTTAAAGTGAAAAATCACTTTTTCATCTTCTTCCTCCCTCTCTTGGCCGAATTCTATGGCAGCCAAGGGGCTGCCACCTTCTCTCTCTTCTTTTAAGCTTCTTCCCTTTGTTAAAAAGTCGAAGTACCTTTGTGTTTTATATTTGTCTTGACTACGCGCATCTTTCCCCTTTATAAGAATCCATTTTTTGCCATTTTTTCAGTTCGGGTTTAGGTCAAGTTAGGATTTTGGTATGTCCTCTTTGGAGTTTATCGTTTATCGTATTGTCCCCGACAAAATCCCAAAGTTTCGTCGGATTCGGAGCGGTTTCATTTTGGTCGCTTTTGAGATTTTCATCTCAAATTGAGGTAGGGGATGTTATAGGTTATTATTTTTGTTGTCTTGCATGCTATTAATGCTTATACAACTTGTATGCATGCTTTTGTTCATAATCTAGAATTTTATTTAATTATTTTATATGTTTAAGATTTAATTCTCATGATGATATTCCTTAGAATTAAATTGTGGCATGGTAGTAAATTAGGCTTTGGTATATTTGTTAACATATATTAAACTGAGATTATTTGAATAAAGATTGCAACTTTTATTTAATAATTTTCTTTTGTGAAAGTTTAATTATTATGGTCGTACCTTGCATGGAATTAACTTGTGATATACTATTAAATTAAGTCTTGGCATGCTCTTTAACATACTTTAATTTTGGAGTATTTGGATGAGTATGAAAATCTAAAGATTTTTATTAAAAGGATTAATTAAAATCTATTTAAAGATTCCGTTGGTTTAATTAAGTTTTTAACTTGATATTGGTGATGACTAGGACATGTATATTAATATATATTAATTTAAGACCATTTGAAGTTGCTTTAGAAGTTAGAGATTTAATTATCATGATTTAATTAAATTCTACTTTGTTATTCCATTGGCCTAATAAGATTTTGAATGGATGTATGTAATGACCATACAATGTTGTTTAACATGTGTTAATTAGGGGTTATTTGATTGAGATTTGAAACTTAGAGAAATTAATTAGTTTATTTAATTAATTTCTGTTTCTATAGCGTTAATGATTTAATCATGTGTTTGACATTAATTACTTATATGTTTAAATCTTGATTTTGAACTTGTATTAGATTCATGAGTTTATATTTTCAATATTAAAATATATTGTTATAACGTGTAACGAATCGCACACTGAAGATTCGACATTTGTCATGCCATAGTAGTTGTGGACTTAGTGCATGTATTGTATGTGGTTTCAAATTTGGTTGTGCTTGGTAGATAGTTGATTATTTTGTATATTCTTGTTGATATATACGTTGTTGCACAACTTGTTGATTTTGGAAACTTGGGG